CCACTACCACCACCACCACCAGCATTACCACCCTGTGACTGACCACCACCTTGACGCGACACGTCACACTCCGCGCTCTCAGAGCCTTATAATTCCAAACATCCCCCACAGACGGGACGAGCTTCTTCACAACTTTTTGAACCGCGTTGTCGACACCCCATATACAACAAGCCAGCCATGTACGGCTCTTACGGCTCCTACAGCTCCATGGGCGCTTCGTCCGCTCCTATGGATATTGGCAAGGGCAGCTACCTGTCCACGCCTTCTTACGACTCCAGTTGCGCCTTTCCCAGCTGGCCACGGCGGTCTTCACTCTCCGAGTCCAGCTGCGAGTACAGGGCTACTTCGTTCCTGTCCGACGATGACCTCTTCCCCCAGGACGTCTTCGAGGACGACGCACAGAGCATTGCTAGCAGCTCTAGCACCGCTTCACCACAGCCCGGATCGCCCCAGATTATGACCGAGGCCGACCTGCTCGAGATGCAGCGGGAGCGCATGGCTGCCCAGCGCGAAGTTATGCGCTTGATCATGAGCGAGAAGGAGCGCAGGCGGCAGCAAGCAAAGCGACGAGGCTCTTCGGGTTCCAAGAAGAGCCCAAAGAGCAAGCTCAGCTCTATGACACCGATCACTGAGACTGGAGAGTAGACGTGATCTACCTTGCAACGACTTACACGAACATTCATGAGTAAGCTGACTAATCCCACAGCCTATGCGGCTGCAACCAGACGCTGACCTCTCCTACCAGAACTTAGTAATCTTACACCTAATACTCTATGCCTTCTGTGAAGGCTATACTGCATGCCCGATGAGTCACCGACTCTCGGAGATCTTGCCCCCTATCACGAACATCTTCTGAGCGCATGCGTGTCTGCCGAGACATATGGAGGCAGACATGTTGAACATGCCAACTCGCCTTAATTTGATTGTTGTTTCTTTGACACGCGGCGTGCGAGGTGCCGCCGTGTGTGATGCGGAAGACGGAAGAAGAACACAAACCCGGGAAGCCCCTGTGAGCTTGCGGGAAGTGTAGAGACAGTCACGCTGATCTCTGGCACATGCGTGGAGGATAGATGGTGGACAACAACATCCACTAGGATTGTGCGCCAATGGAATACCGCGTGTGGCGAGGTACCCGCAGCCCCTAGCCGCGGAGGTGAACGAGATGGAGATTCGATACTGCACATTTTATCTGGCATGAGTACAGGGCACCCAGATTACAGAGAGGGTTGGCCGCTGATATGGCGGCCGAGTCTGACAGGGCTTGTGACTGACAGTGGTACTACCTACTGTTTTCACCTACGTTGAGTTTGACCTGCTGTGGCCCAGTAACACAAGGTTGACGGTCGGAGTTCCCATTGGCTTTTTGAGTTGTTGATTCATGGACATATGTGGAGGTGTCGGGCACCTGCCACGGAGTTTTGTTTGGTTCACATGAGATACCACACCTACATAGCATCGATAGCATTGATACCCCCCAGCGAGCATTTGTAATGGAAGTTAAGGATTGCCATTTCTACAAACACATACTACAGTCCAGTTCATTCATGCCTCGCAACGTGCCGCCCGTCTCGCGCTAAAGTAGCCCCCTGCCAGCCATCAAAGCATCTGGCAGGTTCGCGTGCTGAGTGTGAGTGTGACGAAGTTGGGTTATGGGTCTAGGCCGCTTCCTAGATTGGTTGAAATAGGGTTAGACTTCACATAGGCTCAATATCGGCAGTGTGATGGTGGTGAGCAGAGTTGCCGGCCCATCGACAGAGCTGCATGAATTTTGATTCACGGGACAAGGATGGAAGTGTGATCCGTCCTCATAGCGCAGGCATCTCCCGCATCCTTATTCACAGGTCACAAGCAGAAAGCATGGGCTCCCGCCGCCTAGTGCAGCGCGAAGAAGAGTCTTTTGCAACGGCTAGAAGCCCGTAGGCATGAAACAGGTCAAAAGGCTTACAACGGCCGGACATACAGACGAACATACTTATACTCACATGCCCGTTTAGGCATCCCGCTTCTGGCTTCCGGCGCGCCCTAACTAGTCGTGCTCGAAGGCACACCCTCGGGAATAGCTTACACGGTCTGGTCTGCTGTGCTTCAAACCCGTCATGGATTCGTAATCATCTTCATTCTCCTCCCCCCTTCCCTCTCATCTCACTCGCTGGGAGACTGGCTGTGGCTGGTGGGAGGATGAGGAGGAGGGAGGATTTCTCAATCACAGGGTCTCCGAGAATGTCTTGCCTGACCTCCCGCCGAGTGCAGTCACTTGACGGATGTGGACGGATGTGGGGTTGGTAGGCGAGGGCACGCCGGACATCCAATGATGGCGCCGACTCATCGCTGGAGCTTCTCATTTGTCCCACGGCCGATCAAATCAGAGGCGCGCGGCGGCCCTCCCAGACGAGATGGATAGGGTATCCGAGATGGCCGGTTTGGGTGGCCGAGAGAGATGGAGCTCTTGCTCGTGTATCACAAACGTTCGTTCTCAGCATCTGGAACTGTTGGGCCTAGATATATTAGGGGGTGAGGGGGGACTGGAAGGGAACGCCTCCTGATACAAGCCCAGCTGAGGGGTTGATTTGCGGAGGAGCTTGAAGCTGTGAACTCGTTGGGGAGGGTCGTAGATTGATGTGTCTGCCCGCTCGGGAAGCGGTGTTCTCGTCAATGCTGTGAGGCCATTGATTGTTTTATCACGGTTGCGGCGCCCTTTGTTTCAGTGGGATCGGCACGCTTGGACCAGGAGCTTCTTTTTCCAAGGCTGACTGACGACTGGGTTACCAGATATAGAGAGATATTGGTCTATGTACTGACGCCTTTTTCCAGGTGCGGGGGAAGAAAGAGTGTTTGATAAGAGCGAGCCGTTGAGCTTGTGGCGTTCAATATCAAGCCCGTTCTGGATCTCGTCACCAATGCTCATCACATATCATGATAGTCAGTCAGAGCCAGGACCCCCCTCGTCGGTTAGATCTGGCTGGCAAGCACACAAGCCCTGAGAATCACATCGGCATGAATGAATGACTCGACGAGGAGACACGAAGACCGAGATATTGCTGAGTGGGAGGGATGAAGGTCTTCGCAATCGGACTTATGCCCTGCTTTACAAGGCGAGGGAACAGACACCCTGTTCGAGTGTGATGCAAGTGTCAGTGATTGTGATGTGAATTGAGATGTGATGGCCGATTAGTAGCTTTTAGCTCGTCTTCCCTGGTCCTGTCCGATGCTGTTTCCGGTGCTAGCTGTTCTCAGTTCAGTCGCCTCAATACACACAGCACACCCACAACAGCACTTCACTTGCCTGCCAGCCGTGGTGGAGGGGGGCTGATGATGGATCGTTACAGATTGCAGGGTAGCTTTGAGCTTTGAGGCTAGGGTGTGGCAGCTCATCTTCACATCATGCAGCAGCTCCCTAGCTCACGGCTCGCTCTGCCATCTGCTGTAGGGATTCTGGTGATCAATGCCTTTTGATGAGCTCGCGATCCAACTATGGGTCGGGATCTCTGGCTAATCTGTAAAGCAGGATGAGCCCATCTCAGCCCAGTCACTCACTGAGTCAGTCAACCAACAATGTCTTTTGAGGCCTGCCGCGGGAGGCTTTCGATAGAACATACGCAAGCAACGGTTGACAAGGACTGTAGCAAGCAAGGGTAGCGAACATTTCAGATGAAGATTGACCGGGGGAGCGGGAAGCCTATTGTCGCCGAGCAGGGCACTAACACGAACACCCGGTCAAGCCTAGATACACATAACGTTAGCCCTGCACACTTGCACGCAGCTCACACACGGCCAGGCCCTTCTTCCGACATCCCCGCCTTCTTCTCTGCATTAACGTATAGCATATCATGTAAGTCTAAAGCTGAAGAAGCAAGAATGGAAACGGCCAGCCACGCCTCGGTCCTGCAACGGCCTTTATGCCCAATTGTCCTATCACTTCGAGATGGGATCATGTCCTGAGCGGAGTACACAAGGGTGGTGGAGGTAGACAGGTCAATTGAAGATATCATCACCATGTAGAAACAAGGATCATTTTCAGACATTGGAATGTCGTACAGCAACCGGCGAACTCGGTCGAATTGCCTAGCTTGCGTCTTGCAATGCATGGCTGAGACGCCATTACATCAATTGGGCTCACCTTCTCTTCCTGGAGACGAAACTCGCATGTCCGTTGATGGAGGAGACTTCCCATACATCGATTTGCTGGACGAGGGCGTGCCACAGCATACGAGCTGTAAGGTACGGAGGTTTCCAAAGAGAAGGGCTCTCTACTTGACCTGGTTGCTGCCCAGGTCTGAGACATCACACAACCGTACGACAGACGCAATGGCGGGTATCCGATGGAGGTAGAAGAGAATGCCTTTCATGCAGCCCCCCGATGTGAGTTGCTTTTGCGGCCGCGGGGTAGTTAACCGTCCCATGCATCCCGCGGCGCACGCACGCACACATGCACACATCGTGGCCCACAAGGTAGCAATGCATCATGTCTTTTCAAGGTACGTGAGCCGGTGTGGATGTGGACGTGGATGTGGCTAGGTAAATTGAATTCGCCATTGATTTTTTTTTTTTTTCACACCCCAATTCCCTCGCGAATCACGATGTGGCGGCTTACCCGAGATTGACATTGGCGAAATAGAACTATGCTTGGGTTGCAGAGCCGGCCGAGAACGCCATCAACACGGGGCGAAGGAAGAATTGGGCCACGAGGGAAAAGGCAATGGAGGGGCTGTTATCAATCGGGCCAAGACAGGAAGAAGCCTCCTTTCGAGCCGAGATAACGGTTTCTTGCGAACCGCAGCTTTCACAGCTAGAAGCAATGCCTGTGCCTGGTCCCTTCAACCCCTCAACGGTTGAGATCCGGTGCTTTGCACTTGAAGGTCCGGATGGTATCCACGTTGGATGATTGGAAAGGGTCGCACTGACACAATCAAATCGGATCTTTCTAGCCAGGTACGGTTCCTGTGCGTGCGTGCGTGAAGGGTGGTAGGGCAAGAGTGTGGGTGGGTTAATCTGTTAATCTGATTCAATAGAGTCTGTGTGTTGGAGCTTTGGATGTCGGCTTGAAACTGAGCTGCAGGTCTAGTTATTTGTTTCGTCCTCTCTCGAAGGGGTTTGACCTTCGAAGAGTTGCTGCTTTGACAACAGCACTGCAACCCCAACATCCTCTTCCAACTCCAACCCCCGAACACGCCAACGGCTTTGCATCTTACAACCGGACCTGGCAGACAGACACGACAAGACAAGACAGAGTGAGGTCATTCGGCTCTTCGTTCGGCTTACCTGTGACATATAACCGCTGCTAGCCAGTCCCGCTTCCTAAATATCATCGTCGTCTTTTGCTCTCCACCACAGTCTAGTCGAAGACGGTTCGATCCGCAGAGGAAGGAAACGGACTGGCGAGCTCGGTTCATGCTCGATGGCAAGAGCAGGTCACGGGTACATCCTGGACAGCATCAAGCCACCCAACAGGCGGCCGAGGGACAATGGTATTGTGTACTCGAGAACCCTCGAGAAAGCAGAAACGAGGACAGGCGGGAAGGGAGGAGGTGAACAAGTGGATAATAGCGCAGGATGTAAGGTGCGGAGACGAAGGGGGGGTTGGGCGCCAACCCATGTCTGGTGGTGATGAAGCTGTTGATTGGCCCGAGTTCGAACGATTCTGCAGGGGGGCCCTGGAGAGAGGCGGCCAATCAGGCACCGGAGCGTTGCTCCCTCAAGTGGAGGGGCGCTTAACGTCAAGCCTTCTGCTTCCCCCTCCATCTACACGTCCAACCACACTTCCTCAAGGCACTCGGAGCTTGTGGGAATGAGACCGTCTAGCGAGGCCTAGCTCTACCCATTTCGAAGGCGAACAACAGCAGCAAAAGCAGCATATCTCGCCCGCCCTGCCCTGGCTCCCGGGGGTCGGGAACCCTGGATAGCAGGCCAACGGACGAGGCGTCTCGTTTGTCATGCCATGATGCTCATCAATGCTCTGTTCGCGCGGGCGACGGGGACCAGATAGCGAGATGCTCGTCAATCCAATGGTCGTCATCTTCGATCCATGTAAGGTACGACGCACTGTGCTTGCTGCTGTCCCTCCCCATCCTGTACTATGTACTGCATAGTAGGGGCACTCTGGGACTCCATACGCTGCGGAGTTTTTGGCCGTCGTTCTGGGAAAGCTACTGGCTCGCCTGCAGACCTGTCAGCGGTTGACTCTTTTCGTTTCTGAGTTTCCCACTGTGAACGATACACGCATGCACGCACCCACATGACTTAGACACCGCCCGAAATAGAGCCAGAGCGGTGTATGTAAGTAAGGCAGGCAAACCGTGAAGCCCTGCACGGACTAGAAGGTCTAGTCTGTGATATTCTTATATCGCAGGCTGTTCAGATGACAATGATGGGCCAGCAGGAAACAGCAGAGCGGAGGCTAAATATGGAGCAAATATCGATTTGCTGTATCATGTACGCCAATGAGCTACTGCGTTGTGCATGGGGGGTTCAATGTACCCATGGCCACTAACGACCCTTGGAGCTACGATTGCCTCTTTCTCACGGCTACTTGGCTTTCGGCATGCTGTGGCTTTCTCCAATCCCTGTTCCGCTGCTGGGGTCTCTGCTGCCATGCAGCGCCTTAGCTTAAGCAGATGAGCCGGTCCGTATCCGCTCCAGATTTCACCGTTCCTGCTCTTCTCTGCCTAGGTAGGTCCCTTGTCTGGCCTGTCCTGTGCGGTGCTGTGCAGCACACTTCGAGGTGTGATGCGAGTGCGCTACCCTAGTCCGGCTCTAGTCCACAAGGGCATGGCACGGCATGGCATGAGCATGGACATGGGCATACTCGACTTCAATGGAGCAACAGAGCTCTAATTTTATATGCCTTCTCCGATCGTCCACTGACAGGCCTCGCCTCGTCGACTTAGGCGCTCAACTCTCAGTACCTCGAGCGTGTAGACTAACATGACTTATTTGCTCCCGCACACCCCCCCAGTCCGATCCAGTCCAGTCCAGTCCAGCCGGCCTCTCTTCATGTGCCCGTTTCCCTCCTCTCCCCTTTGCCCTCTCCGCAACTGCAACTGCAACTCTCCTTGACCTTCTTGCATCCGGCCTGGCTAAACCCGCACACGACATCTTCCCCCCAAGGCTGTTGCTGCAAGAAGAGAAGAGCGAGAAAGACAGAGACAAGCGCCCGGTGTTTCCCTGCCTGTGCATTCTCTCCTATCTTGCCCATCGAGTATAACCTCTGCTGCCGCGCACACGGCGCGGGTAACCTATAGCTGAGAGACGGTTGCCGCCGCTCACCTACACCACCTTCTGCGCCTACAGCGTCTCATCCCATTTTGCCGTGCGACTCCAAAGCCGGTCTGACTTAATCCCACCCTCCTCCTCTTTTTACCTTTCCTCTCGTCTTTTTCCTTTCCGTCCAATTTGCTCCCGTACATCCAAGACACAAGGTCGAGAACACAAGAGGAGGGCCAACCCCGCGCCGTCTGCCGAGTATTGGAGTATTACACGGCAGCAGCAATTACCATCTTGGTCAGCATCGAGTTACCGTATCCGATCGTGGGTTCTGCCGCATAGAACGTGGGAAGCGGCGAGGAGTCCGGGAACGGACAGGAAATTGTTCCATGTGATGATTGGGGTCCGAACTGTGTAGCCTCATCGCTCGTCTCTGGTTCGTTGCGATATTGTCCGCGTGTCCCGGAGGTAGACGTCTCACCTACCGCTTGGTATGTGCAACCCATCTCCTTGTGTGCCGCCGCTTGTCTTATTGTTGCTGCATTCGAGAAGCTCGGGTTGAGCACTGGCTGCAAACCTCCACCGAAGAGGGCTTCCACCGTATGCAGGTGCCCGGCTAACACCGTCTTTTTTGCCTTGACACAGATAACACACGACCACAAAGAGAAGAGGATATCACAGTCGCCATGTCCTCCTCCGCTCATCTGTCGAGGACCCGCTCGACATCGAGTCCCATGTCATCGAGAGGGAAAGCAACCAATATGGAGGACTTTACTATGTCGCCGGGGAGCATCCTACGTTACTTTGAGCCAACAGCTGCCACGGCGGCCATGTTCCTCTATGCTCAAGGCAACTCAATCGTATGCTGTCACCATGACACTTTGACGATAGAAAGGAGATTCTCCAGGCATTCAGACGAGGTTCAGCTTCTGGCTGTTGATAATCAGAGTGAACAAGGCGGCGGAAGACTGGTAGTCAGTTATGACGCTGGCCAGACAGCAATCGTTTGGGACATAATGACAGGAGACGAAGTCGCCCGATTTGCTTCGTATGAACACCTCACCGTCGCGGCGTGGATGCGCAATGGAAATGTCGCTTTTGGTAAGGATGCTTGCCATTCTCATAGTTAGGACTCATTGACAATTTGTAGGTAACACACAAGGCAACATCATCTTATTTGAGCCGACGACGTCGGAACACATTTCTGCAAGAACAATCGATCAAATAGCAGTCACAGCCCTTGCGCCATCTTCAGACTGCCGAACATTCGCGATTGGGTAGGTTTCCCTTGATGAATGCCACCCCCTCAATCGGCGAGCGGCTGACCAATCCCAGTTATCAAAACGGTTCACTTTTGATCGCGACTCTTCAGCCTAGGTTCACGATTCTACACAATTTAACTACTTCTAGGTCTCCGTCACCAATTGTGACGCTTGCCTGGCATGCCTCTTCATCACGGCAAAAGTCGGACATGCTGGCTGCGCAGACCAATGATGGCGATCTGCGAGTCTGGAGTGTTACAAAGTCATATAATGCCGCCGATCCTGCGAAGGTGGTTAGAATACTAAAGAAGACCGAAAACTACTTGTCCGGGCCAAATTGGGCCGGATGGTCAAAGAACGGCCGTATCATCCAGTATTCCGAGTCGTAAGTATCTCTGCCTCATTTTGTAGTCCTGTTTTTGCATAGTGGCTGACGTACGATTTAAGCGCTACTTTGTCTTGGGATGTGCGGACCAAGCACGTCACCTATGACAATATCCCGACTCTTGAGCATGTTCGTGGCCTCGCGCTTTACGGACCAGGTGCCAGCCTCTTCACCCTGGGAGCCAACAACACTGTCCAGCAATTCGATTTGAATGCACCTGCTGTGATAGTTGCAAATGTTCAGCACCCGGCCAATCTGCTACCACCATCCCCACCTGTATCTATTGAAGAGCAGGACAAGAGCGCAGCTGCCAGTGCTTCAGACTCCGAAACAGGTTCGATTCATATTAGTGCTGACATTTCAGAGAGCGAAGACGATGGGAGGTCACCATTCGCCCGTTTCGTGACTGCAGGTGAGCTGGTATCTGATCAAGAAGAGCCATACCGGACAGCGTCCTCGGCCTCCAGCCGTAGTGGGATGTCAAGCATAACAGAGTCATCAACCAGCTCTAGGACACCAGGACGACAAGGCGGTTCGATCGCTTCTCGCGGTCTGACTGAGAACACTTACATCTCAGCTGGTTCATCTATGCGATCATCTGCTGTCCCCTACCATGAGCCCAAGCGAGACAGAGACTCTTTCTCGATAAGCAGCCTTAGCTCCGTGTCTGTGGGATCTTCCGGTTATCATCGTCGGCATCGGCCGTCACGTCTTCGCCATGAGATTCCCCGCAGCCCCGAAGATTCGAAAGTTGCGGAGCTTTTTAAATTCACCAAAAGTCGTCTAAGCGATGTCCCTTACAAGCGGCCGCCCATGGTTGACAGCAGTCGTCTGACGAACGATGACCTCCGCCGTCAAATGCTTAGCACGATTTTTGGTTGGAACAAGGAGGTTGATGACCTTGTGCGAGATGAGATGAGCCGCCACCCTCAGGGCTCGCCTAGCAGAATTCTTCTGGCGAAGTGGCTCGGTGACATTGATCCGGATATCATCACCACCAGCTCCGAGAACATGACTTCTTCTGATTGGATGCTTTTGGCCTTGAGTGGCATTGGCGGACAAGCTTCGCAGCACAAGCTTGGCCGTGCCTACATTCAACGACTACTTGAACATGGCGATGTCCATGCTGCAGCAACAATTATGATTGGCATGGGTGACCATACCGACGCTGTTGAGATTTATATCTCGCACAAGAAGTTCTTGGAGGCGCTAATTCTGACCTGCTTGTTCTTCCCGTCCGTCTGGGAACGACAAGCCCAGATCATCAAGAAATGGGGCAGTTGGGCTGTACAGCACGGTCATCAACAACTGGCCATACGATGGTGAGTTGCCTATATTCGCCCTTGATAACGGATCACAAACTAACATCTTTATCAGTTTTGCATGCACTGGACAGGAATCCACAGAGCCCTGGTCGTCTCCATCGGCAGCCCAGGTCAACTTTCAGTCCATTCACCCCAGCATTCCCGAAATTCTCAGCCCTCCATTGTCGCCTCCGGGTTTGAATCGTGGTCCCATGCGAAGCATTGCTAAGACATCAGCCTTGAAGTTGATCACGTCTTTTGGAGATCAAGCTGAAAAATCTAAATTCTTCTCCGGAGACAATGGTGGACAGACACCTATTGCTGCTGGAGTTACCCCAATTGCTGAGTCCGCGGTTTCTCCAGGAGGCCACGAAGCCGCTACAGCCCTTCTCCGACCATCTTCACGTAGCGCTTTCAACACGCCAAGCTCTGCAAGATCTCAGGCTACTACCTTCAGCCGCGGTCGCCTGCCTTCAATCGGAGAGATGCCCAACGATGCTAATCCTCGCCATGCGTTAAAGACTGCTGGTCTGCCACCGGCAAACCCGCCAGTGGTTCAAGCCGACGAGGCTAACCTGACAATGGGACTCGCTTTGGCCAGAGCCGCGACCGCCAGTCCGATGATGATGAGGGACTCGCATCGTAGGAAGGAACCTCCTCCACCATCGCCCTCCCCAGCATCTATGGCAATGCTCATGGATGGCGGTCGTCATAGCCGTAATGGCGCCAGGGCACGCAAGCCGGAGACTGTCCAGGCGCTGCACCTAGAGAACATTGACACTGCTGTAGCTGGTGATGTGACGTCCCCAGAACCGTCTGTCGCATCCTCCACTCGCTATCATTACCCGACAAGACTTCGTCGTGGACCCGGCTCTGTGGCTAGCTCTGTAACTTCCGCTTCCAGCGTTGCTAAGAGCCATCGTGGACATCACCACGGCGGTGGCAAGAGCCTGGATGACTACATCAATTCCCTCGAGGCTGCGAAAACCAAAACACGCCAAAGCAGCCGCGAGGGCCGCGCCAAGGGTCGGGATAGCAGCAAGACCAGAAAGACAACTTCTCGCGAGCGATCCGGTGAACGCGGCCGAGGCATCTCTCGATCCTTCACTCCAAAGGCTGGAAAACGCTCACCACGCTCCCCGGTGCCCATGTCTCCTGAGGATCTGCTAAATCTCAGCACACCGAGACTCCCTGAGACGAAGTTTGATGAGTATGGCCAGCCAATGCCTGATGTCGAAGTTGAGCCTCTCACTGTGAAGAAAGCCTCCAGCGTCATTCGCCATTCCTCCAAGACAAGAGTAGCGAGCCGCAACTCCAGTCGTGGAGCTCGTGACAGACGCCCGACTCCTCTGGAAATTCCACGTGGCCGAAGCAACACAAGAGACGGTTCGGCGATTAGGTCGCCCTCCTCACCAGTTCCCATGTCTGCTGGCGCTCAACACTTCTATGGCTCTGAGGACGAGGAGGACTTGAAGATGGCCAGGGAACAACAAGAGGCTTTCCGCAACAGGCATAATCGCAGCACTAGCCGCGGTTTACGTGAGCCATCTCCGGGGTCACTCAGGGCTCGGGAGCGGTCTGAGAGTCGTCGTCGATTCAAGCCTGCTACTCCTGGTCCGCTGCCGGCCCATGCTGGTGATCTGAGGGCGATGAAGGATGAGAGGCAACTGAAGAAGGAAGCTGCTGCTCGTGAACTTGAAGAGCGTCGCATGTCTCTTGCCAGGCGCGCTCTGGCTCCTGCTATCCCTCATCCGGACCAACTTTCGCCAGCCATTTCTCGCCCGCCCTCTGCCTTTGAGCTGCCCAGCACGACCTTTGTCCCGCCAAATCAGCTGCCTACTCGCAGTCACACAGCCGATCCTGAGAGGCAGCAGATGAGCGAGAGGGCTAGGAGTATGTATGCTAACCAGTCGCGTGCGGCAATCGGTCTCCCTGCCACTCCCAAGGCTATGCGTTTGGTCATGGACTCCCAAGGAACGCTACCGGTAGTGCCACCCATTCCAGCGTCCTTCGCACAGGCCTCATCTCCTTCATCATCCAGACAGAGCTCTCCAAAGAAGACAGAGGAGGAGCCCGTGCCACCTGCAGCCGAGCCCACGTTGACTTTGCTGCCATCGACGGTGTATCAACCTCCGTCTCGGCCGCCAATTTCGCGCTGCATGTCCGCTCCGCCAGAGGAGCCTGTTGCAACCGTGCGAGGCAGCGCGGGTACATCGACCAGAGTCTCTCGAGGCCATTCCATCAGGAAACTTAGCACACCTGATGCTCATGAGGTCAACTTCCCGCGGACCATTGACGGTATGATCGAGGCGAACCGGAGCTCGCGTCGCCCATCCCGAGAGGACCAGATCCCGCCGCCTCCACCACCGCCGCCCATGCTAAAGGAGCTGCAGCATCTTGCCATCCCCCCACCTCCACCACCCGCTCCTTTGCCCTTTAATCAGGGAGGCAAGCCAGTGGTGTATGGAGGACAGGCATCCGGCATGATCGAGATTGTCATGGACGATGACGCACCGTCTGCTGCCGCTATTGACACCAGTGTACCTATTCTGTCACCTCCAGCACCTCCTTCGTCGCGAAATCATCATCGGGGACGCAGCAGTGTAGACCAGAGCATTAGTGGACGTATTTCACGAGCTACTGAGCGCATGAGATCTGCTAGCCGAGGCCGCAACAGCTCCTCCGTGGTGCATCGGACAAAATCCCCAGAGGGCATGGTTGCTCCTTATGAGAGTATTCCTCCTCCTGTCAGCTTCCAGACTCGTGCCGAGTTGCGATCACCGATAGAGCAGCGCAATCCCCATGATCTGCCTACAGGTCTCCTACCGAACGACTTGATCTGAGAGACTCTAAACCCGTTTCCATCGCCCTAGCCTATTTTGCATTCCATACACAACAATCCTTCTCGCACCGAATTCGCAATTACTTCGATTCTTGCATGGCGACTGGCGTTTTCCTTGAACTTGATACCAAACCCCTCGATGACGGACAGATCACACATACACGCACAGGGGATTCAGAAGACTTTGACAACGCTGCCTTTTGAGCCTTTTTGGCTCCGGTCATGATATTCCTTTCTACACGTTCGAACTTCACAACCCCTATCGGCAGCATGGGGCTATCTAACGACTAGCATTTCTCGAAACGACGACACCGAAAAATCATCATCATTATCATCATCATCATCATTGCCATCGCAGCTCTTTTATTAGAATGCTTGTATAATTCAAGTCCATCCTTATCCATCCCGTTACACCGCAGCATTTTACCTCTGTTTCGAGCATGCTTTCTACTACCTTTTCTGCCTTCAAGACGACTTTATGACCAAATCAGGGGAGATTGAACCGGAGGAAGAAGAATGAGAGGGAAAGAAAGAGAAAGAGCATACACGCGCAAATGTATTTTAGTTTCGCAAACTTCTTACGAGGGGACGATGGGAAACGGGAAAGAAAGTCTCTTGGAGAGAGGAGGGGGGCCACCGACACAAGGTTGACAACAATTTTGGAGGCGATAACAGAGAAACAAACCCACCCACCAGACCTAAGAGAGGCTGTCAAAAATTGAGCTCGGAAGGGTATAGGTATAATGCTGCCTCACGGCATCTTATTCAGATCTTTTGGAGATTGATTTTATGAATTCTTGAGGAAAGCGGTCCTTGAAGCAAGTAGTGGTAGTATCAATGACGGTGATTTTTTTGGACAATATTGTTTATATGGCAGAGAAAACAAATGTTGATGCGTCACGTTTAGAAGTCTTTGTGAACTGTGACTCTTTGAAGCTATCACGACTATCAGATGAATGGCTCCCAAAACAAGCAGCAGGTTACTTGAACCCTTATAAGTGCTGCCGACCGACATTTACGAAGAAAATAGGGGGGATAAATCAGACCGACTTTATCTGCGTTGAGTGTTTATCTAATATTTGCTTGAGGAACGAAAGGGAGGGAGAAAAAAAATAAAAAAAGGAGTTGACACCTCCATCTCAGCCCACTACTCCAAGCCCCTAACGATCGTAATCCAGCGCGCCATGCGACAGTGAAGATGCCTCTGCAGAGTGAGACCTCCCTCAAGAATCATCTTCATTGCTTAGGACCACACCAAGCGATCGCAGGTTACCCGTGCGAGTGGGTGGTCACTGCGGCATTCGCGCTGGGCGACATTAGGGGGATCTGAACGGACATGGAGCAGCAGAAGGAGAATTTTGAGAGCCTTCTACCGAAATGACCACTACAGCCAAAAATTTCAGCCCGTTTTTAGCCTTATGTACCTTGCGCTGAAATCACGTGATTAGGCGCCGACCCTTCCTTAGCTCTATCACTGCTCATTGAGACGCGAGTATCTCGTCTAATTCATGTAGAACTCCTCTGCACCATATGCGTGGCAGCATGCTCGTTATCAGAGCGTCTTGGCCTCACATATCGCTTTCTCATACACGATGATACCACGATAGCAATTGCACACTTAACTCGCAAAGTTGTGCTGTCCTTTCCAAGACTGCCGGGCAGAATCGAATCGAGTCGACCGAGAAAAGCCAGCATGCTCACCACGGCACCGCATTTACATGTTCGGCGGCCGTCGCCCACGACCGCCGAGTTCACCGTGACCACCTGCCCACCTCTGACGGTCCCGCTACGCCTGCTCCTCGCCACCGTCTTCCTCCTACGCATCGTCGTCGGCCTCGGCGTCGCGCTGCTCATCTACTCCAAGTGGGCACTCTCGCCATATGCCACGCCCTTCCCCGCTCATTATGGGACCTCTCCAGCGCCGCCCGTCTTCTCAGACGCCTTCATCTGGCACGCCGTGTGGACGGCGCACACCTCGCCCGCGGGGGAGTGGTTCTCCCGACTGGCGGCGCGAACACCTGCGTGGGCGCTCCTCTCGGCGTGCGCCGCGCTGCTGTACCTTCTGACGGTGCGCATCCACACAACCGAGTCGCTGCTGGTCCTGCGGGGCTTGGGTATCCAGACCAGTTCGACGGGGGGAACGTATCTGGCCGCGGCAGGCACGCGGTTCATCCCGACAGAGAAGATTCGCGACGTGTTGATCAACGAGGCGTTCCGCGGCTTTGAGGTGCGATATTACCTGGTCGTGGTTGTGGAGGGCGAGGAAGATGTCGTGGTCGTCTTCCCGAAATTGCTCCCCCGGAGGAAGATCGTCGAGACCGTATGGAGGGGCGTCAGGGGCTGTCTGTACGAGCCGGACGCAATTAGGAGACTGGACGAGAAGGGAACGTAGAGGTTCTTATTAGACGGTCTACGTGGGTATCTATCTTGTACTAGACTATGTACATAATACAAAGGGTACCATTGATGTGATCACTCATCCGCGTCATCGTCCACTGATACCGGAGCACCTTTCTTCGCGGCACGCAACTCGCTTCTCCAGTTACCCCTGGCTCGCATCTCCTCGGAATTTGCAAATCCTTTCCGTTGCGCGTACTTATCATTGGTTTCCTCGGGTGTTGGCAGAAAGTGCTTTTGGGACAAGGGGACGTACTTTCCCAAAGGCTTGACCGAGTTGGCGCCCTCGAAAACCTTCACACTCGTCGTTGGCTTCCTCTTTGACACGGCCGTCCGACGCGGATCTGCCTTTGTAAACACCCAGTCCAGCAGACGGTTGGCCAGGATCTCGTCCATCTTCCGCTCTCTCCAAGTCTCCCACAGGTTATCTATCAGGCCCCTGAAGCCGTGCAGGTTGACGGCATCATCTTGGCCTACATAGACCCAATCTAAGGTATCGTCATCTCCTTCCTCGCCCTCTCTGCCAAATATGCAGTCCCATAGGACCAGGGGTTGATCGTCTGCTAGGACATAGTTGGGTTTCCGAGGATATCTCTCGACGTCTAACAGGTCGCTTACGACCGATGGGGATTCAAGGCCTTGCCCAACAAGGAACAGTATGGATACCATGTGTCGGATTTGGTGCCAGAGGAACGCGGAGCCACGGACGTGGAAATAGTATACTTTGGGAAATGTTCCCTCGGCTAACGACGCGGGTCGAAACTGGCTGTCGGATAGAAATGGTATGGATGAATCGATATCTTTTACCTCAACTATGTCCGCCTCGTAGATCCGCCGCACGAAGTTTGTGATCTGCTTGCTAGGGTCTACCTTGCAGAAGTTCCGGAAGTCGTGGAGGCCCTCGTAAAGCTTAGCCGCCTCTCGCATGGCCTCGATATCTAGCCAACCGGGTTTGACCAAATTCCTAGAATTCTGATCATCCATACTGGAAGGCACCGGCGCAAAAGCCGGCAGTGTGAAGAAATATCTGTACTGCCGCTCCCGACACGAGAATCGCGCTGAAAAATCTGGCGGAGGGACTGGACACCATGCGTAAATCCTGATGTCTGGAGGCAGCAGACGGTTCAAGACCTTGCAGTACTCCATCTCCTCCTCCACCGGCAGAGGCGTATCGTCTTCATCGGCTTGGGGGTCTACTGATGCCTCGCCCGCGGCGTCAGCCTCGCCCTCTTGGCCCTCGAGGGACGCTTGTGACGCCTGGACCCTCCGCAACTTGCTACTCCGCACCCTGATGCCAATGACCTGGCCAAAGGCACTGACGCCCCGATCTGTCCGGCCGCATTTGGAGTACTCGAAGGGGCTGAAGTTGACCTCCTCCGGCCGCTCAGGGGCGATGAGGCGAGCCGTGAGCAAAGCCTTCCATATCTCCTCCTCTATGGACGGTGTTTTCCCACCGGACGTGAACTCAAAGCCGCTGTAATTCTTGCCAAGGTATGCAAACTTCAAGGCGATGAGTCGCGTGCAATACCTTGACAGGTCCAACTCCCTCTTCTGCCTCTTTGGCAGTGGTCCCTCAGACTCGGCAGCGGCTCCTTCGGCAGGCTTTTCCGTCTCAGCGGGTCGATTCTTGAGCTCATTCTCAAGCCGTAAGATATGCTCTACCAGCGATTCTTTGGTCCATTTGTTGAAATCCCGGCCTTTCGCCTGTGAGGACGACATCGTCCGTTTGAGATGGCCAGGGCGGCAGGGACCAGCTGCAACTAGAATATCAGATGATCTAAGCAGCCTGGGGGGTTCCCTCAAACTTTTGAATATCCGTAGGCCTGCGATCAATTGTCGAGGCGGCGTCATGCGGTTTGACGACTCACTTAGACAGAGTCACCTCTCACTATTTGACCTAGGTACCCTCAATGAACAGAGTGAGCATTCATTCGCTGAAGTGTATAAAAATTTAGGCGGGTGTGGCTTGTGCGTAGGCTGTGGCTTTGCGCTATTTAAGTCGTTTACTTAAAGGAACCGCATGCTGTCTACCCCAAACCCAGCAACAGCTGACCTGCAAATCTACGTTACTGGACAGTGAGGACATGGAGCCTCAGAAGATCTCAATTCTGCTGCTTGGAGACGAGAAAGTTGGAAAGTCGACATTTTTATCGTATGTGACGACTCAATACCATTTATATATTTCAGGGAATTCACTAACACATCATGTAGGCGGATAAGTCAGGGTGGAGACAAGCTCCAGGGCACTGCGACTGTTGAGCTGCTCAGAGATATCAATCAGCCCTTCATATTTGAGGTACGATTGGGTAAGCGGGACTATAGACTCGAGTTCTACGATACGTCTTGCCCTGAGAGTTGGCGCCTGCTCCAGCCTGACCTCCTCGTGATCTGCTACGACATAAGCCAGCGGCTTAGTCTCATCAACCTCCAGAGAGTGGTGAGTCCAATCCCCTTGTGTCCCTTCCTAAGGCATTTCTTCTGACAGCTATTGCAGTGGATCAAAGAAGCCCGTGCTGCGTTCGAGACGAGGGACGTGCTCCCGATCGTGGTGCTTGGTCTGAAGAGAGACCTACGATCAGAGGATGACCCCAATGGCATTATCTACCCGCAGGAGGGGATCCGAGTGGCCCAGGAGATGAGAGCCGACCAGTACATGGAGTGCTCAGCCGTGACGGGCGAGTTGCTTCAGACAGCGTTCGAAGACATGTGCAAGACGGCCATGAGGACTGCGACAGCCGAGGGCGGCCAAAGCGAGGGAGGCTGCTCGGTGATGTGAGATGTCTCCTAGCAGTAGCCAGAGACATATGCCGGCCAGGATCGCGCTCATCCTTCTATGGACTGCACCGTCTCCTTGTCGGCACCAGCCGCATCACCGCCTTGGTCCTCTCGAGGAGGAAACTGGCCAAGAACTTCAGCGATGATGTTGAGCATCTCGATTTGCTGATCGTCGGTGAACCGCTCTGCCATGTCTTCGACGCAGGTACACAGGACAGCGGCATTGATGGGCCGCAAGTTGAGAATCATGATCATCTCGCCCTTGGTGATGTCGTAGGGCTGGAGCTGCTCCACCAGACGCGTGATGGAGGACGCCTCATATGAAATGGGATCCTGGCTAAGGGGGCTGGGAAAGCTCTCTAGGTAGACCAGCAGCTAGATGAAGGAGTTCAGCCTTTTAGTAAAATCAAGGATCAAGCGCTCAGCTTTCACTCACTTCCTTGACAACGGTTTTCATGTTGGATGGCATACGACGTTTGACGCTGTCGCCTGAGTGCTTGTTGTATCTCTTCTGCTGGTCGACGAGGTGTTGGTAGACCTCGAAGTTGGTCAATACCGCGTTCTGAGACTCGAGGATCTTCATGGTGACGAGTCTGGACAGTTCCCTTCGTAGTAAGGCCTGTCTCACGTGAAGTTTGTTTCTGTATGAGATCCAATCTAAAGATCTAGACGGAAGACCAGCGTAATCTAAGTGGGTGGAGTGGAGTTGCTGGCCAGCCCTGAGGGAAGTGAGGCCGGTATGCCTGTGAAACGAATAAGTTGCGGTCAAAGGTGCACCTCGAGGGAAGAAAACAGTGCCACGGATGTAGAGTACCTGGCTAAAGGTAGTATTGACTACTGAGCTATTGTATGTTTGATCGGATCATTGGTGTTTGCCTCCAGTCGCAATGTCATAGCCGGGCAGGTAAATGGCAGGCATCCCGTAGGTACACTCAATTTTTGCAAGTCGTGCCCCTCCATACTATCAGACTGCCGGGCATACCCACCGAACCTTCCAAGGTTACCTAAGTAAGGTAAGGTAGCTGTGGCCAATGAGACCTGCAGGAAAAAATGTCGCACCCCTCCAGCTGGGCACCTCATCCAGGGATCTCAGTGAGACAAGCTGCCTGGTTGCACTACCTTGCCGTTGCTTACCCAACCTAGGCTTTGTTAGGGTACCTACCTAGGTAAGGTAGACTAAGGTTTTTGGCGGCTGTGGCGACCATTTACACTGCTGCAGCCACAAAACGCGACAGAGAGGAATTTTTTTTTCTGTTCTCCCCCACACTGTAAGTCACCTAGAGCCCCGCGCGCTCTCTCTCGGGGCAGCCACTCAATTGTTCGCTGTATTGTTAGCAGTCCCCCTTCATTGACTCCTCCATGCGCGCTTCGCAGATTTTTGATGACTCGCATCTTGCAACAACATTTGCCCTTCCCTTCCCTTCCCCTTCCCCTTCCTCCTTTTCAGGATGATATCTCTCTAGCAGCCTGACACGAAGCTATTCCCATCTCCTCCTCTTCTCCTCCTCTTTGTTGTAGTCTGGCAGCCCTGCCCCAGATTCATTGTCGCAGAGCTGTCCGTCTGTACTTGAGTGGGCTCTTTTTGATCGCCAACCCTCGGCACTCATTGTGACGTCTTCACCACCGCCCACGAAATCAGCCCCGGTTAAAGCGCCATCGGAGCAAATAGGAAGTGCAGAAAAGCACAGGGCTGCAAACAACAAGACTGCTCTATTCACAATTGGCGATCGACAACCAGGCATCATCTCTGTTTGTTATTGCAGTCCATCTGCGCCTTGGACTTTGTTCCATCTGGTGGCTCCTCGCTTCTATCTACTGACGAGACTTCTTGGCCGGTTGAGCTTCTCCACTGCCTGCCTCTTTTCCCCGAGGCCTTGATCCAAGGGCCTATATCGGCATCACACCCTCTCCCTCTCTTTACCCCTCCAGACCTACCCAGCATCTACAATGGTCCGCAATATTGTCGTCCTTGGAGGCAACTCCCACCCCAGCTTGGTGAATAACATTTGCACCATGCTGGGCGTGCCGCCCTGCAACCGGATCCTAACAAAGTTTTCGGTCGGCGAGAGCCGCTGTGAGATCAAGGACTCTGTCCGAGGCAAAGACGTCTTCATCGTCCAGACAGCCGGCACACAATACACCGAGAGCAGAGTCAATGACCATTTCATGGACTTGTGTATCAGTATGTGACTATCAATCTTCCACTATGAGACAATCTCGTCCAGATCATTTAAGTTCGGCTCACTAACCAAGGACAATAGTGATATCTGCATGCAAGACCGGTTCCGCTAGGCGCGTCACCGTTGTCAGCCCACTGTTCCCATACTCCCGCCAGCCGGACCTCCCATACAACAAAGTCGGCGCCCCGCTGTCAAAACCTCCCTCCGATGTGCCCAAGGACAAATATACTTTTGAGAGTGTCCCGGCCACGCCTGGTCCAGGAATGCCCAAGAGCGCTGGCTTCAGCAACGGTGTCGATATTACCAGGATGTTTAGCAAGACTTCTCTTTCTAACGGGAATGGAAATGCGTCTCCTCGTACCAACGGTGAAGGCTACTTCAGCAGGCAGAATGCGGATGGAACTAATGGTAGGACTCATGCAGGTTCCGTCTCGTCCCAGACCGGCAACTACACCACTCACGATTACGAAAACCCCTCCTTGATCAACTCCTTCCAGGCCAGGCCAGGATACAAGCAGTGGGTCGCACAGGCGGGCACACTGGTCGCCGACCTCCTGACATGCGCCGGCGCAGACCACGTCATCACCATGGACCTCCATGACCCTCAGTACCAGGGCTTCTTCGATATCCCCGTGGATAATCTCTACGGCAAGCCTCTGCTACAGCGGTATATCCAGCAGAACATTCCGGACTACAAGGAGGCCGTGATCGTCAGTCCCGATGCCGGCGGTGCCAAGAGAGCTACGGCCATTGCAGACAGCCTTGGGATGGCTTTCGCCCTCATCCACAAGGAAAGGAGACCTACCAAGATTACCGAACGCCAGAACGCCACCATGATGCTCGTGGGTGATGTGGAGAATCGTGTCTGCATCCTGGTATGTATTAATGCGTCAAAGCCCAACATATGTCTCCAGTGAGCATGGCCTAGGAGACGAGTGTCTCAAGGAAGTTGTCCTAGACTCCCTTCGGCCGATGTGATCTTTCCCCTTCCCCTCATGGAAGTAGATACTGACTCCGTGCTTCAAGGTTGACGACCTTGCGGATACGGCAAACACTATTACTCGAGCTGCTAAGCTCCTGAAGAAGGAAGGCGCGACGTCCGTCTATGCCCTCCTCACCCATGGCGTCCTAAGTGGTGATGCCATTGCCCGCATCAATGCTTCAGCAATCGACAAGGTTATTGTCACCAACAGCGTACCCCAGTACGAGCATCTGCGCGAGTGCTCGAAACTCGACGTCCTAGACATTTCACCAGTCTTCGCAGAAGCCATCCGCCGGGTACACCACGGCGAATCCATTAGTGTCCTCTTCCAACACAATTGAAGTATGGCCTAACAAGACGGCACACCTCTAACCACGTGTGTTGCACATAGGGGATGACCTTTTAGCATTTGGAACTTGCAGTGCTGTTCTGACGTAGGCGCGCGCTCGCAGTCCGCTTTGGCGTTTGTTACTGGAATTTGGGAAATACCGGAAATTTGGCTTTTTAATGGAGTTCGAGTGGCTAGACCTGCCTTGTTCCTTTTCCAACATCAACATCATCCATCATCCACCATCATCATCATCGACATAATCAGCATTGACTCCCCAAAAAGAAAGGAGCAGGAGGCGGCCTTCAGTGGTTACATTTGCAGATCGGACTTTGTATCTGCCTTTTTGCTATACACAAAGAAAGAGAAAGAGAGGAGAGAGAGACACATCTACTCGGGCCTTGCAACTGCTTGCTTTTGTAAAGGAGAGTCTGATTGATTTTTTTCTTTTTTCTTTTTTGTTGCAGTACGGTATCAGAACCAGACAGATACTACACCGCATACTATTGCTATACAAACTCTGGTAGACATGCATCGACAGCGTAGACTAAGAGGTGATTGACACCTGGACCGTAAACGGTTTGAATAGAGGCCAAATGATATACAGATATGAATGTCTCAAGTGACCATGTACTGTTATGCTGCTCCTGTAATGCCGTTCAACATCATGCTCAGATGCCACATATCTGGGGGCTTCCTATAGCTGACCGGTCTTCACGAGTCGCAATTTCCTCCTACTACATATGTGCGGAAGTATCGTGTCAGCAAGGAGTCTGAATATTGAAGTTTGCCATTTCTTCTATGTTCTCCATACATAGATTTTGCGAGCCTTTTCTTGCCACATGTGCCTAAAACTGGATTCTCGGATATGCGGAACTTAGCAACCAGGTTTGCGTTATTAGAGATGGTGATTGTGTGAAATTTTAAGCGGAACACACGAGCATTCGACACTCAAACGACACGGGAGGGGGTGGGGGATAACATATACGGAATGTAATATTCGTAAGCCTCGTTGTAACGAGACCGTTTATTCTGCTGCCATCATTATCGAGGCCACTTTGTAAATGCCATGCTTGCCCAAGTCTGATACCCTGTATCCCCAATGCCGATGAGGGGGAAAGATGGACGATCTGCGACCTGTAAACCAAAACTCCTGACGCCTTCGTCCCATTCACACAAGCATACGGGCCGTTCAGCTCCTCAGAGCCTCCAGCCGGTTCCTCATCTGGTCCATCATAGCCTCCGTGTCCTCCTCCTCCTCCTCCGCCTGGGCGGGCTGGGCCTGCACCGGCTCCTGGGGCAGCGGGGCGCTGGGCAGGGTTCCGGTCTTGTCCATGCGGCCCTTGAGGATCTCGCCCAGGACCTTGTCGACCTCGCCCTCGGCCTCCTCCTCCTCGTCGAGCAGGTCGGCGTCCTCGGGCAGCGCCTCGTCGACCATCTCCTCGATGATGCCGGCCTTCATGAGCTCGAGGCTGAGCTCCTGCATGGTGTGGCCCAGCTCGGGCAGGCGGACGAGCGAGTTGACGTCCTTCATGATGCCCACCGACGCGCGGATGCTGCCCTCGATCTTGCGCACGGCGAACGCCTCGTTGACCTGCATCTGCACGCTCGTCAGCTGCGCCTTGGCGGTCACGAGGCGCGCGCCCGCCCTGCGCGCGCGGATCAGCTCCCGCGCAAAGTCGCGCGCCTCCCTGGCCGCCTGCTTCTGGCGCGAGGGGTCGCGCTGCCCGCGCTTGTCGGCCTGCAGGATCAGGTTCTTGGTCTTGATCTCCGCCTGCTTCACCTGCTGGATGTCGCGGTCGAGCTTGCGGATGTTGGAGCGCATGAGGGCGTTACATTTTCGGAGCTGGCGAGGGGGGGTGGCATGGTGTTAGTGGTATGACATTCAGGATATGTGTAATCGTTGGTTGGTTGTGAACTGTGCTCGGGGGGAGATGTGTGTGATGCTGGGCGATATCCGAACCAGGAGGGAGGCAAGTGGAGAGGAGGGGCATTGCTTACCTGTGCCTGGGGATCGGGTTTGGCAAAGAAACCCCTGAGAGTCTCCATGTTCAGGAGACCTGTGCTCTACCAGGCCGCCTGTCGTGGGCTTTCTGTAAAGGTGTGGCTGTCTTGTTATGGCGGTCGGTGGAATCGTGATGGATTGAAGATGGGACGTATGTTCCGGGATGGGCAGTGGTGGATGGATTGACGTAACGGCAGTCTTGGAGTCAGGCTGCAGGTTGTGGGCGCCTTAGATAAGCCGGCCATATCCAGGGTAGGGTGGACTTAACGTTAAGGTTGGGCGGTCAGAGTTGCGGCTCAGGGGAAGAGGAGGGGGGGGGCTTTCACAGGCTTACGCAGGCCAAATGGTGGTGGATTGAGAGCCTGAATGCAACCCCTATCCATAACGTTAGGCGCATTGTTCCCTCGGCAAGTTACACTCTCCTCCCCCACCGTCGGCGGCAGCTCTGTAAGCACAAAAAGAAGCTTGTCCCATGCCCGGAAAGTGACAAAAGGACCGCACTTCATACGGACGGATGAGGAGAAAACAGGAGTAGTGTGGTCCAGGTACTTAAGAATGAGCAAGCCTTCAATTGGAGTTGAAGCTGGCTACCACTCATGTAGACACAACAAGAACATCTAGTAACTATTTTGGTCCTCTTATGAACATGGCCAATGGCACTGTCTTTGCGAGCAGTCTGTTGAGCCACTGCATCAGTGTGTCTAAAATTGTCTTGAGTAAGCGGTAGGGCTCACGACTCTGCCCTACGAAGGGTCGCTAGCCTGCAGTGAGAACGTAAGCACGGCTAGAGGGGGGGAGGGATGTGCAGAGAGTGCAGAGTGTGCAGACAATCCGGTCGAGACTTCGGTTACAGGCCAATAATGGAGGAGGGCGGCCGAAGCAGCAGAAATGCCTAGGTACGCTGTCTTGCTGTTGTTGCGGTGTAGGTAGAGAGGTAGACAGGAACCTGCAGGTTGCATTTCTTGCTTGATCATGAACTACCCAATCTGGTTAAGAAGGAGTATCAAGAAGGTCGAACATCGGGTCAAGTACCGGGGACGGATCTGAAGAGCTCCCCGCGACGATGACAATGCACAACTCCATACACACTACCTAACACTCAATGGATTACCTAACATTACCTACCTAGGTAGGCACGCTACTTAGATATCTGCGTGAGGAGGCAAAGTCTGCAATTGCGACAGAGACATAGTTCATGGGCATTGCACGCTCTGAGGTATACTACATACTACATACTACATACTACACGTGTAGAGACCAGCACGACGGAAAAGGATTCAAGCATTGAGCTTTAAGGAGAAACAGAGGATTCGATGCACCTTAAGCTAGGTAAGCATGTACCTACGCGGCCAGCTTCTCACAAGCACCGCGACATTGAGTCATGGAGAAAAGACCGAATTGCTACTGCGCAAACGCTGAGAAACTGCAACGGAGTTAAGAACCATACCTGCTAGGTAGTGTAATGCCTTTGCTCTGTCAGTCGTTTGACCAACGAGTGTGTGAACCGGGCGCCAAAACTATGGCTACTACTACCTACCTAGGTACCGGTATATGTCCATGCACTATCCAGCCCTGTCTTGTCAAGACTCAAAAGTACCTCGAGTAGAGTCCGTGTCGTGTCGTGTCAGTGTCAGGGGTGTTGGTTCTTGGTGGAATGGGGTTCGATGGATCGAAAATCTTTTGGATTCGGGCGACTTCTATGCCCGTGACAAGATGCAAGGCGCAGCCCACCAGAGAGCATCCACCGGCGCCGGTTCTGCTTCCTCCTGGGCTGGGGGCAGCCTCGCAAACCACCTACCAGCCAGTCTATTATCACTCTCTCCTCTCTCCCGCCTTTTCCTCCTGGTCTATCCATTCATTCTTCTGCAACTCCATAACACTGCCTCTTCAATCTCTCTCTCTCTCTCACTATTTAGTCAGAATCGTGATTTTGCAGCTGGCAATTGGCAAACCGCCTGTTTGATAGACTCTTCAACCCCCACCTGACGTACCTACCTCCTACTTCATCCTCTTCCTCCCCACCGGCCGGCACTACCCAAGTTAGCGCCCACCAGGCTACCTACCTGACCTAGAGCTTGCTTAATCCTCCATCCGTACCCCTCCTCCTCACTCTGTTTCTCTGCACCTACTTTCAACCCCTACCATTCCTTCCCCAGACAACCTCCTTCCACCCTCTCTGCCCCAAACCACACAGCAACAATGGCCGACACTCTAACTCCCGAAGGTAAGTCCAACTCCCGATCCCATTGAGCTCATCATGAGCTTCACCTTCTTCAGGGCCCCCCTGCGGTTGCATATGCGCCAACAGCGCAGCTGCCTGTGCATGCCTGCCTGCGCACTTGCGGCATCCCCCTCACACCGACGACGAGCTTTTGCTCTGCTTTCCCTCGTTTATCGCACAGCCTTGCTAACACCACGCTCCTCTCCCTCAGTCCTCTGGGCACAGCGCTCCTCCAAGACGGATGCCGACAAGAACTTCATCTACCTGACCATCTCAGTGCCGGATGTACCGCCCTCAAACCTCAAGCTGGACCTCAAGTCCCAGAGCCTGACCTTCACCGGCCACTCCGACAGCCTCAAGAAGACCTACCACCTCGAGCTCGAGTTCTATGCCGAGATCGACCCCGAGGCCAGCAAGGTCAACCACACCGGCAAGAACGTCGAGCTGAAGCTGCACAAGAAGGAGCTCAAAGAGGAGTACTGGCCGCGCCTGCTCAAGGACTCCAAGAAGGTCCACTTCCTGCGAACCGACTTCGACAAGTGGGTCGATGAGGACGAGCAGAACGAGGCCGCAGAGGACGACTTCTCTCAGTTTGGTGGCATGGGTAAGTGATGCACTATCCCGCTTTTCGTCTCAGCACACTTTGCTCTCTGTCCCCCAGCCTTGCCTCGCCCTTCGCCATCCGTCATGAAGATCCAAAGCTAACGTATCTACAGGAGGCATGCCTGGCATGGGTGGTACGTAACCTATCCAACCCATCTTTTCCTACTCTCTGGGGACTCCAAAGGACCCTGTAGTCACTCCAGGGCACACTTCCAGGCTCCCAAATCTCTCTGCACTTGGTAATTCCAGCCACTAACATACATTTTCTAGCTGGCGGCGACTTCGGCGGGATCGACTTCTCCAAGCTCGGCGGCGGTGCCGGTGGCGCCGAGGAGGAGGAGGAGGAAGACGACGACGACATGCCCCCTCTGGAGGGTGAGGAGGACGAGGAGGATGATGACGACGATGAGGAGGAGGCGCCCAAGGCCGCCGGCAAGGCTCCCGCCGCGAAATAAGGAGATGGGCACGTCTAGAGATTCTGCTCTCTCCCCGCGAGACCGCCAAAGGAACTTTTGCACCCCAGGGTTGTTTCTCCGTGACGGCGTAACGGCTTGCTTTTGCCCTCCTCTCTCAAAAAGAAATCCTTGGTTTGTTTTTCCGGCACAGGGAAAGGCGAAAGAAATGGGGGAAATTCTGGGGCGACAGAGTTCTTTTTTCTCGTCTTTTTCTTTTTGTCTTCCATCTCTTGTTTTTATCTCCTCAATCACAAGAAAGGGACCAAAGCCAACAAAGTCGTCAAGTCACACACAAAATCAAATCAATCACAACCAAGACTCGTTGCTTGCCACATCCCCAGAACTCTCGAGAGGGAAAGAAGGATGGATATCTGGCAGAGACCCGTTTTCCTTTCTGTTTTAGCATTGCGTGTCTGAGTGAGTGAGTGTGTGTGTGTGTGTGTGTGTGTGTGTGAGATGGATCATGAAACATGTAAACTCCCTATGCCCCCCAAACCAGACAGCCTTCTCTGCTATATTGTGTCGAGACGAAAGAGCACAAGAGATAGATCTCAATATTTTCCTACCTCCTCCTCCTCCTCCAACATACAGAAGAAACTGCTTGTTTTACCCGGCGTGAATGTCTGCATTGCCTGGCGCTACGGGCTTTTGTGAATTGCTGTGAGATGTACCTACTGGCTGGTGTGAGGCGGGGAACTGTACAGATCAGTCAAACCTCTTGAGACACAGGCGGCCGTTTCTCTATCGAGGATCATGGCCTGGCGAACCCCCGACACATAGGAGCGATTGAGGCCGAGGGAGAAAGGCACACCCACTGCAAGATAGCTGTAGTTGTTGTAGTAGTAATAGTACGAAGAGACGTTGCCCAGTCTAAGGAGCTGTTATCTTGAAAGTCACCGTGGTTTCGAGAGATCTTGCTCGACGGATCTGGAGAACCACCGTTCTCAACGTGACAGGGCCCGCGAGAGGAGATCTAGCCCCATGGTAATAGCAAATTTTGGTCACTGGTCAATTGGAAAGGGCGCGTTTCAATGTGACAGCATGTCGTAGACAATTATATTTGTACAGCACTATATATCCACCTCAACTTCAATCAAGAAGCCAGTCCTGCGATCCATGACGACCCCTATTGATAGGGCTGTCACTCTGAAAGCCGCCATGAAAGCAAACAAAACATCGAGTGGAATAGTGAGAAAGTCCGAAATTCCGTCAAAACCTCCCTGCGTCCCTGGTGAACAGACTGTGGGTGAGGGGACCTCCTGAGTGCGCATCCGATAGAAACCCTCCTGCTGATGTTTTGTTTGTTTTTCGTTCTTGCCTCCGCAACCAAACAACCAACTAAGAAAATGAAGGAAAGATCAGCCAGACTTCGGTATTATCTAGATTTACATGATCTCGTCCTCCATCGGCGCATCACCATTGGCGGCCGCGGCAGCAGCCGGAGCAGCACCGTTGGCATTCTCGCCATTGGCATTGCCAGCCACGAAGTAATCGGCCATCTCAGAGTCCAATTCCTCTGCGGTCTTCTTAGCCGGTCGGGCGCTGCGAGGCTTGCGCTGCTTCTTGTTGGGGCCCTTGCCAGCAGGGGCAGCTTTGGTGTTTCCACCAGTGTGCTTGTCAGCAGCGGCGGACTTGGGCTGAGCCTTGGGTTGACTGTCTATGGGGTTAGCAACGGCGTTCTTTCGAAAGGATGGCAAAGTACCTACGTGATGCGCTGACTCAAGGTCTTTGGGGCGGGCAGCAGGTCGGCGTTGGCGACAACAATCTCAACCTAGTCATCATTGTCAGTATGTTTCGGAAAAGCGACAATTTGGAGACTTGGCTCACCTTCACGGGTCGGTTGTCGATGAGCAGACCGTTCAGCTTCTGGAAGGCGAGGCTAGCGCCGTTCGCATGGTGGAAGATGACGCTGGCAGTACCCTTGCTAACGCCACCAGGGCCGTATGAGAGTTCGACCCTCTTGACTTGACCGACAGCCTGTTGGAAGTAGTCCTGAAGTTGGTAAAAAAAGCGTGTTAGCTATATGCAAATTCGTTATGATCGAAGCGTAGTCCAGTCGCCAAGCGGTGGTCCATATAATCGTAGGTCGAACAAGGCAAAATCCGCGTGAGTGCCAGTGTTGACACATGTCCAAAAGACAAACGAGCAGAGCAGTGAGCGTTAGTAGAGCAACAGCAAGTGACTTGTAGCATAGCCATCTGACGGACAGAAGCTAGGATGCAGTCAAACATGCAATCACCGAGCAATGTTGAAGCCTCCAAATCATTCGAAGCAACTGACAGATCCCCTGAGAATGGTAACAATCCCCCTCGTGCCCTCAAAGTGCTCGATTTAATAGGTCCAACACAACTGGGTAGACAATGACCTGCAATGCTCGACGGAAACTCAGCCGTCGAGACGCCTTAGACTATTACCGTCGAAAGGCAGCAAATGGATTCAAGAATACGCTTTCATAGGATTGTGCTGCTGCTCACTGCTGTGCTCGCCGTACTGATGATGCGCACTCTGCTTCTTGGTGACCAGCCAAGAGAATGAGTGTGCTTCCACGCCAATGGGAAATTGTCTTTTCAAACCACCATCCACTTGGTAGTCGGCGCGGACATAGCTCAAAGCAGGTGCTTGCCAGGCAACCTAGGCTGAGTCCTGAGTAGCGCGCGACATGGATGTGCTCAACTTCAAGTTGCGTAAACTGCACGCGTAGCGTGAGGGCCATCAAGAAGGAGCTGGAGGTTTTTAGACAGCCCGAGGCTGGCTGAGGTGGATTTGATCGCCCGTCGTATGACGAGGATGTCAATGGTTGCCCATGAAATATGCGATGGAAGACGCCGATAGAAGTTCCGAGGGCGGAAACAGCCTCACCGGTAACATACCTTAATTTGGCCTTCGGACACGTCCTTGGGCTGCGTATAGTTAGTAGCTGAACTGATAGAAGACGGTTTGAGGGCATGCTTACCAAGTTGCTCACAATGACCTTGCTCTCGCCAGTTGCCTTGCCAGCCTTGGCTGGGGCAGGCTTGGTCGCATTGCCGCGCGCAGGCTTTGAAGTCTTCTGAACTCCTCCGACAGGCGCGGTGGTGGCAGGCTTGCCAGAGGCGCGACGGGTGGTGCGACGACCGCGGGGAGCGGAGCGTCGCTGGGTAGAGAGGATCTCGTCAAGAGACTGGTCAAGCTTTCCAGACATGTTGACTGTGATGTGGGTTTGAACGTGAAGTAATGGCGTTCAGAGTAAGTGTGATTAGTCGCAGGTGGGCAGATGCGACAAGGGCTAGACTGCGGACGAAGTAGATATACCACAGTCAGAAATTCGGCAGGATGTGATGGCGAGGAAAGAAGAGGTCTCTCAGTAATATCGTCGAGACAGGCTTGTTGGAATGTACTCGCGAGCTGGGCAAATGCGACAGCTGAGGGGAGACGATGATGAGGCGATGATTATTGGCCGAAGTGTTGGTCGAGAAATGAAATGGAGATGAGGACTGTCAAGTTGGCTGCAGACCTCTCAAGAATCGAAAAAGGCAGAAGATACCAGGTATATTTGGTGGGTTGTTCTGCGGTTGGTGAGGCAGGCTGAAGATGGCTGATGAGGATGAATAGGAGAAGAAAATGGGAGTCAGCTGGGTGGGAAGGGCCAAGTAGGTAGGCAGTCGTGACGCCCTTTTTGTTGTGCTGCGCTGGGCTTTGTGCTGGCCAGGTTGGTGACCCGTGCGTTGTCTTCCAGGAGCGAGGGAGCCAAAGTGTGGCTGTCGCGTTTCATTGGGCCACACCTGTGCTAGACTCGTTTAGGTACAGCGTGACTCACCTTCCACCCAGCCACAGTCCAGATCCCGGTGCATCTGAGATACCTATCTCCTTGGTCGTTGAAGTTGATGGTACCACTTTGTCACGTTTTGCGGTACTGTAGATACCTTGTGTCGACCTCTGTCGACTGCTTGTAGCCTTGCCCATTTGATCATTGATCATCTTCGAAGAACATGACATTAACATTCACGACCGTTTTGTATTGCAACCATACGACTCTGTCTCGTCTAGGTTCCCCAGCCTTTGCCATGCTTGCGGTAGCAGATGCACACGCCTCTGCGGCTGCAACATGAGACTTTCTGCTTCCACAGTCCTCCTTTGGATTGGGGTTCTATCGATTTCCTCACTGCCTCTGCCACAACAGGTGCCTTACTACGGGTAGACTACACGTTCACTCCTCCACTACCTAGGTAGATCTTATTCGAATCTAGGAGGTTTCGAAACTAGATGCGCCGGTAGCTACCAGTTCTTCGTCTTCGTAGCCCGTCATCATTCTCGAAACTCACTTTTACTTCTAGGAGCTACGAGAATCTGAGCTTCGGAAGACTTGTTGTATTGAGAATCAGATCGAATAAAGATATTTCACGTTGCAAAGCACAATGCGTAGTATAATCCAAGTTGTAGGCTGCGCGGCAACATAGCATGCGCGACATGGAGTCAGACGACAACAAAGAGGACGTAAATTCTCGTGCAACAGCTTTCTATTGATGTAGCTGATTTTTCCTTCGCAAGATCGATGTTGCGAAGACGTTTTGGGTATACCTAGAGACGCCTCCCTCTTCATTGGGGCGTCATAACCTTCAAATCTTCCAAATAGCATGGCTTCGTAGACGATTTTCCGGCCGTCCTAATAATACAAGTCTCCCAAGACTACAATTGATTGTAGCTCCAGCTTTTTCTTGTCCAAATCCTCCGCGAGGATCTTACTTATGCGACGTTGCTTGCTTTCCAGCGGGCTGCGGTGCGACTGGTTGCTTTTCCGGAATTTCATTCGAATTGACTTCAAGGTATTGGTAGAGAACAATGAGAATCATCGCGGCTGAGCCGAGAAAGATGGCAAGCCGGTAAAGGTCGTCGTCGGAAATCATCTTGACTCGTCTTTACGCAATGCTAGCCGGTTGAGCAAAGGTGCGGATGGACAGGTGGAGCTGGGAACGATTGTCTTGCTATTGTTTGGTCATTAGCCCTTTTTTGATCTCTTTCAAATCTCCAGGAAGGTAACCAACCGAGTTGTCTCTGACAAGGAATAATTCACACAGTTGGCGATGTTTTGTGGTCTGGTGTCTCCGAGTTTGAGAGTCGCAATGTGGCCAGCTTTCAGGGACCTTATTACGAGTACGCTGGAGCTTAGAGACAGGTACCTGTCAGGGTGCCTGTAACTTGCCAGGCCGATAAGATAGTGGCATGCACGTGATGAGATGGTCCGTGCAGTACTCCATCATTCTTCATCCCACTTGGTTGCATTTACATCCCACATTTCTCTCCAGCCAAGCCCAAGGCACTTTTGCCCGCCTTTCATTATTTAACAGAGACCCTGTCGAGGGGAAGGAGAGGCGGCCGTCTCGAGGACAATACCTTGTTCGACCGGTAACCAACACCATCTGCGATTTTCCACCTCCAAAATGCCTCCGAAGAAGAATGACAAGCAGGGTGGCGGCAAGAAGCCGTCCGCCACCAAATTGGTCGAGGACAGAACCTTCGGCATGAAGAACAAGAAGGGTGCTCAAGCCCAGAGGCAGATTGCCCAGATGACATCGAATCTCAAGAATAGCGGAAGTGCTGAAGAGAAGAAAAAACAGGCTGAGAAGGCTCAGCGCGAGAAAGAAAAGAAGGCTGCGGAGGATGCCAAGCGAGAAGCGGAGGCATTGCTGAACAGGCCTGCACAGATCCAAAAAGTGCCATTTGGCGTGGATCCAAAGACTGTCGTCTGCATATTTTTCAAGAAGGGCAATTGTGAGAAGGGCAAGAAGTGCAAGTTCGCTCATGACCTCGACGTAGAACGCAAGACGGAGAAGAGGAGTTTGTACACGGATACTAGGAAGGAGGAAGAAGAGAAGAAGAAGGCAGAGACATCGGCCGACTGGGACGAGGAGAAATTACGCAGTGTTGTTCTATCTAAGAAGGGCAATCAGCGGACAACGACCGACAAGGTTTGCAAATACTTCATCGAAGCCATCGAGGATGGCAAGTATGGTTGGTTTTGGATATGTCCGAATGGTGCAGACAAATGCATGTACAAGCATGCCTTGCCGCCTGGGTGGGTTCTTCTTCCTCTGCCTGGCTTTATTGCAGATATCTAACGGAATACTTCAACAGATTTATCTTGAAGACGAGGGAACAACGAGCTGCCGAGAAGGCCCTCATGGACAAGTCGCCACTTAAAACACTGACTCTGGAGGACTTCTTGGAGACTGAGAGACACAAGCTCACGGGGACACTAACACCCGTTACCCCCGAAAGCTTTGCCAAGTGGAAAAAGGATCGTCTCGACAAGAAGGCAGCAGAGGAGCAGGCACGGAAGGCCAAGGAAGCAACTGGTCGTGCTCTGTTCGAGAGTGGCAACTGGAGGGGAGACAGCGACGAGTCAGAAGACGACGACGACGAGACTTGGAACCTGGAAAAGCTGCGAGAACAGACCGAGGCGATACGAGCCAGGAAAGAAGAGGAGCGATTGCTTGGCATGTATTCGAACGGGGAGACAACAGGCGCTCCCGAAGCAATACAAACCGCTGTCGCTACTTGAGCGCTTTCAGGGCTTTGAAAGCGACCCGAGCCCCGACAGTGCTAACACATCCAAGCAAAGGCTGTTCCGTCCAACATAAGCGGCCACGCACCTCAAGCCAAGGACCAGGTGCTCGCTCAACATTATTGGATCTACCGCGTCTAGTGCTGCGGAGGAGGTCACAGCCCCTGACTCTGAGAGTAGACCTTTTCTCAAATATCAGCTGCCTACGCACTTGAAAGAAGGAAACGTATGTCACAAACTCAGGTAGCAGGGGCGAAAGGATTAAATATCAATACTATATTACCATCTCGCACGCCAACGAGAGGGCCGTTACCACATTGTTCCCATACAATAATCCGTTGCTGTGATTTTCGAATCAGCAGACTTTACAGGGGCTGCAAAATCTTGAACGAGCGTTCAGTTTCGACAGCCCATCCCAGTTCCTTGGCTTCAGATTTCCGCCCCTAGAACTTCTCGACATAAGGTCTAATGTCAAGCTCCTGTGTGAAGGCAGACCTGTGCTGAGTGTGGAGATGCCAATAACTCTCGGCAATCTGCAAAAAAAAAGTCAGCTTGTCATCTGAAGGAGGACATGCATCTTGCTTACCGCATCCGGGCTGATCTTGCCGTCTGGCGCCCCATTATTTATAACTCTGTCCTTCAAGCGAGGAATGTCTATACCACCATCGATAATAGCATGTGCGACGTGAACTCCTTTCGGTCCAAACTCTCGCGCCAGGGATTGCGTGATGGCACGCTTGGCAAACTTGCCAGCAGCGAAGTCTGAGAAACGTACACTTCCCCTAAGGGATGCCGTCGCGCCTGTGACGATCAGGGACGGCGGATGTGGTGACTCTTCAACAGACTCTAGGAGGAGCGGCAGAGCTTTCTGAGCGAACAGGAATAGGCCACGTCTGAACGCTTGTTAGTTAGGAAATTTTGAGACACAGAACTGTATATAAATAAACTTACGCATTTGACTGGTAGCTTGAGTCGAGGTCTTCGACTGACAACTCAAGGAATGGCTTAAGGCCCCGGCCGCCACCCACATTGTAGATTGCGGCAGCGAGCTTGGAGTCAGGGAGCTCCTTCTTGATGGTCTCGAAAGCAGACGCAACCGAAGCTTCATCCGCTGTGTCGGTGGTCACTCCAAAAGCCTTGCCCCCGGCTTTCTGAATTTCAGAGACAACGTCATTGTAGCTCTCTGGTTTTCGGGCAAGCAGAACAACTGGGTACGCTTGGGCAAATCTCTTCGCAACGGCGCCACCAGTTCCAGCCCCGACTCCAGCAACAATTGCGAAGAACTGTGATGCCATGGCTAGATTGTACGTAGTGAACCTGACTTAGATCTCAGATTAAGTGGCTAAACTAATAGAAGTGAGATAACTTTCCAGAGAAAGTGATATTCAGAGGAACCAGATTGACAAAAACGTGAATCAGAAGTCTTGGATTATATATCGATTGTCTCATCAAGCTGGACAGTGACGCATTTGTAACATCGGCAGTGAAGCCACAGACGAGCTCCGGGGCGCGAGCAACCCCGCGATTAATAATACCACCTCCATTCGCCTTATGCTAAACTACTTGCGTGATGAGGCGGATCATCCAGTATGAAGATTAGTATTTCGAATGAAATGGTTCCTGCTTCTTTCAACATGCCAGGATTGTTGTTTTATATCAATAACTTACATGGCTGGAAAGGGGTAAATAAACTCGGACTTCCTGTACCTCGGACTGCCATTCTATATACCTGTGTACCTTGAGTGTGGAGTGAGACCCTGCCTGGGCGATTTAAGTGAGAATAACACGACCGCAACAATGCATTTCTGCGCTCTTAGACTAGAACAGAGCCTATGTCGGCGTGAAGAGTTTGAAACTATGGAATGTTGGGCTTTAGAAAAAATTCAAATTTACTGAAGTTCGCAATTCGACTGTTCGTAACTGGAGCGTATTCAAGGGCAACAGTAGTGAGGACGCCGAGTTACACTTTGCAGTACTTGAATGTGCTTCAATAAATGAGCCACTTCAACATGTGTAAAACTACTTGATAATACGCTCCGGGTAGAATGAAACATCAGGATCTATGAACACTATTATTCGTTTCATTTAGTCTCTAAAGTCAAATATGTCAAGTCTGAAGAGATTATCTGCTGGATATGTTCAGGGTACACCACATGGTCCGTGCACTACGGCGCTCTGGGTTTAAAGCAAATAGCGATCGCGACTTAGTTCGCGTCTTCAACATTTAAGATGCACTTCCTGCTTCGACGGCTACGCACCTTGACCAGCTTCTGCTTGCAGACCACTTCTTTTATCGAAAGTATGACACGACTATAAATTGTCCTTGTAACTTGTTAGACCATGGTATGTTTGCATCTTGTCGAGACCCTATCTCGTAGTCTCTTTCGAGTCTTAAGGAAAGCCTTGCACCACAACTCCCGTCTTCGTGTTGGGCTTCAAAGCTCTCTCATCTCACTTTTTGCAAGGCTTTTAGATATTGCTGATGAAACACCGAATGAATGCCTCGCGAAACAGTCATTCACAACCCCAATGATTTTCCTTATGTCATCCCTTCTTAATCCTAAACTTACTCTTTTCAGTGCCTCTCGACATAATGGCCTGGTCTAATTAGACAAGTTTGAGACAATATGGCCGAGATTGTCTTCTAAATTTGATATGATATTTCATCAATTTTAACATCACGATTCGCCTTGGACTGGTTGCTATCATCTCACCCACACAACATGCCTCCATACCTGCCACAAGGTGAGAACCTTGTGAGGCATATTAGAGAAACTCCAATTCCGCCTCCAACTTTGCCTCGCGGAAGGATCACAGGACCTTTGCAAGTTCCTAATCCATCTATCGCTCGCTCTTCAGCTCGACCACCTGTGCCGCCTCCTTCTTCTCATGCTCGCAGCTTGCCTCCGACTTATGAAGATTTCTGGGCGGAAGTCGGATCGCCTCGCCATCAGAAAGTCCACGCTACCACGCAGTTCTCACCTTCAAGCAGTCTGAGCTCTAGACACACTGTCACACAATCACAACCAACTCTAGGGACGCCTAGCGCACCACTTACACCAACTCGAGGCTCTCGTATTGAAGTGGTCCTCAGTACCACGCCGAAAACCGCATCGTTGGCCCAACCTCCGCGAATCAAGTCAGAAGATCTCGAAGATGAGCTCGTGGTATCAGATGTCACTCCCAGGCAGCCAGTCCGGAGCTCTCAGAACCTAGACCCCCTTCCCGCAAGTACTCCAGCCCTTCCCGTGCTGAAACCACTCCCAGACGAAGCGGCCACTGCTCCAGAGCCAGCGACCGCGCCGCCGACGAAGAGGAGGGGCCGCCCGAAGGGCTGGAAGCCGGGCATGCCGTACTCGAGCTCAGGCGCCCCTACGCCCTCTGGCTCGCTGAAGCGCGCGGACCGCCGGGAAGGCCACGCGGTGAACTATGCGCTGAAGCAGAGGCGCCGCGGACGGCCTGCCCGGAAGCCGTCGCCGACGCCGCAGGAGATCTTCGAGAAGCTACAGCCGCGGTATGTACCCTTTCTGTGCGAGTGGAAGGGATGTCCCGCGGAGCTACAGAATGCCGAGACTCTACGCAAGCATGTCTACGTCGTGCACGGCCGGTCCGAGGTCCTCCAGTGCAAGTGGGCCAGGTGCGGCGAGGCGGCGCCGTGTCCGACGTTCAGCTCAAGGGACCGGTTCGAGCGTCACATGGAGGAGCGGCACCTCGTCCCTTTTACGTGGCATCTGGGAGACGGGTATGGAAACAGCATGGCGCCCGTCGAGGCGAGGGGGGCCTCGGATTCGGTCCCGGACTACCTGCTCGACGACGAGGGCAAGCAGGTCACGCCGTCGGTGAAGGACCAAGAGGTGGAGGACTTCATAACGTGGAGGAACAACCGGCGGCGGTTGAGGGAGCTGCTTCTGCAGCGGGACGCGAACGCGCCGTACGAAGACGAGGACGGTAATGAGATTGCTCCTTGAAGCTGCTACGGCGTAGAAGAGGTCACACCCACACCCACACATTGGCATTCATACCACGGCGTTTGGAAGAGCCGATGTGGACGGAGGATTAAGAAGCTTCTACACTTTGCCCCGTTACAGGATAGGGGCGCAACGTGGAGGTCGTATTTGGCTCATAGCGCCAGAGGGAGACCTATTTAGGACGACGAATAGATATCAATGTTATATAATTGAGGCTATGCAAGACCTGCTTTGACGTATGCAGATGCACCCGTAGCTTCCGTGGCTTCCGTCGTGGCCGAAGGAATGCCAGCCAGACGCTGGGAGGGATCCCATCAGGAAACACAGATTGGAGACCTGGGAAGAAATAGGGGTTTACTAATAATAAGGGGTTGTCTTACCCAGAGAGGGATTACCTAGGTATTGTTGAGGTGGACGAGTGGCCAGTAGGGCGCCTGAGGGCGCCTAGGTGCCGTGTGTCGCTGGGGCGGTGCGGCTCAAAGCTGGCTCCTGGCAATTCATGCACTGAAATGCGCGGTGATCAGTGATCACTCATTCCAGAGTGAGCGAGTTACGTCACATTCGGGGAACTGGAGACGCGTGGACACTGGACACGACGGCAGCAAAAGTGGGCAGCTGGTCGTATTGGAAGTCAACCAGCGCATTGAGTTACCGATGCTATTACATATCTACCGTGCTGACTTTTTCGTGATTGAAAGGTTGTAATGTACAGTTCCTCTTGTAGATAGTTCACTTACAGGAGGGGGAGGTTATCGAGTGGCCAGGGTCTATAAAGGCCATTTGTCAGCCACACCTGAACCCTGAACACCACGGACTTTCCTTCCCCCTTCTCGCTACCGACGTACCTGTCCAGTGTAGGGATTTCCCTACCTTACGAGCTTACCTTAGCCAGTAGATGCTACTTCAGAACAGGCTTACAGACAGACTGACAGACAGGCAGGCACATAGACAACTTCGAAGCTAACGTTAATAAGGAGAGGGAAACGTTGAAGCAGATACGGTAATGTAGACTCGTAGACTCGTAGACTCGTAGAGTAGGGGCGGGTGAGTCCATGTTCGGAAGGTGGCGAAGGTGGGTCGCAGAACACCCGAAGAACACCCATAACGTGCCTCTAGCATTACGGTTGTTAACAGATCGGGGGTTCTGGCCCGTCCCAAAGGGAGCTTAGAGGCTCCTTACTGGCTGCTGCCGCCTCTCAACAGCACACACACACTTGACACTCTTCTGCGTGCACACAACAATTCGATCGTCGAGCACCCCAAGATGTGCGATATGCAAGCCCCGGGCGGTTATATTGGCGGAAAATAGCGCAGCTCAATCAAATCCATCTACATAGGTACATACCTACTGTAGGTACTATGCAGTATGCTCTGGAGAGGAGGACGGGCCGCATCTCTCTTATAGAGACAGGGTCTGGCATTGGCATGAGGGCATGGCATGTAGGGGGTGAGAGTGAGGAAAGAAGTGGACTAACTGCTGCTGGCATTGCACAGCCCCAAAAAGGTCCCCACAACAGCGACTTTACCAGTCCGATTAGTGTCTGGTGTGCGATCAACTCGACAATCCCCCGGTCCAGCCCAGCCCAAGACTCTGGATGCTACTAATTAGCAGTGCATATACGCAGTACTGCAGGGTAAATCCGTCTGTGGTGTTGGTGGTGGTGGTAGTAGTGAAGTGGGTGAAGTGAGTGAAGCAGAACCAGGAGAAGAAGCAGGCCATTTTGCCGCCGCTCTTCTGAATTCTTGGCGTGAGTCTGATATGATAAGTGAGGCAGGTAACGAGACATCTAATCCTAATCCTCCACGTTACAGAGCAGGGCAGTACAGTACAGTACAGTACAGTACAGTACAGTAGACATCACTAAGACCAGCTGCCACTTGAGATGCCCTGGACTACCTACCTCGGTATTCTTTTTCTTCTTTTTCTTCCAAATAAAACATTCAGAAAACACGCCATCATCTACGATTTCAGAGCATAATCTGTAGAAGAGGACAGACAGACCCCTTTTTCTCGATCATTTCCAAGGTTGTGACAGGTGCACTACTTAACGCCGCTGCCACTTTAAAGGACCCCAAAAAAACTCACTGGTTCTACGGCGGAAGCAGGCGTCTCCCTAGCTAGCCTTGGAACAGTCCAGGCGGGAAACTGCCCGCCCAAGGCCCTAAGAGGAATATCCCCCCATGCCTAAGGCCACCGGTGCTTTACCGAGAGGCGGCCAGCCCCAACTCCAGGCCCAGGCTCCTCAGTCCCAGTCCCAGTTCCAGTCTCGGATAGAATCAGCAGCAGCGCCTCCACCTGCACCTCCTCCTCTTGCCGATATCACCAACCACTCTACCCTCAACCAAAACCACCGCTCGCCATGGCCCCGGCCGCCGTATGATCGCCGCGACGACAACCCCAAGATGCCGTCCACAAAGAGCGTAAATGGCAATGGCCACTTCCCCCAGAAGCTGAAGAACTTCTTCCGCATCAATAGCTTCACCAACAGCAACGGGGAGAAGGGCGGCGCCGACCACCACCACACCAGCGCCTTCAAGTCCGACTCCAAGACCTCCTTTCGCCAGTCCAAGTTCTTCACCACCGTCGGCCGCCTTCGATCCGCCACCGTCGCGAGCGAAGGCAACCCGCTGGACGAGGCCCTCAGCCCGACTGCTCACGCCAACCCCTACTTTGTCCACCAGGGCCAGCCTGGCCTACGACACCACAATGAGGGATCCGTGCCACCCAGCCCGCCCGACACGCCGCAATTGAAGGTCGACGGCCCCAATGGCGCCGCCGAGCAGCCTACCGCTGCCACGAAGGAGGAGCTGGCGAGGAAGCTCAGGAGAGTTGCGAGCGCTCCTAATGCTCAGGGTCTGTTCTCCAAGGGCAAGGGCAGTAACGAGCGGCCCGCAACCGCCGAACTCGGCAAGGAGCCCCTAGTCGAGAACAAGAACTCCAGCACGCTCGGCTTGGTTGAGTCGAAGTCACAGGCTCCCGATGCCAATTCCCTCGCCGTTCCCGATACCGACGGCCTAGGAGCGCTGCCGTCGCCAGGCCGGACGCCATTGGCGTTCCGCAGGACTTACAGCTCCAACTCGATCAAGGTCCGCAACGTCGAGGTTGGCCCCCAGAGCTTCGATAAGATAAAATTGATTGGCAAGGGAGATGTGGGCAAGGTCTATCTCGTGCGCGAGAAGAAGAGCGGAAGGCTCTATGCCATGAAGGGTTCGTTGTCCGCCGTCTTTTGTGCCTCTGACCCCCTCGCTGACAAATTGCAGTTCTGAGCAAGAAGGAAATGATCAAACGAAACAAGATCAAGAGAGCTCTTGCGGAGCAGGAAATTTTGGCAACTAGCAATCATCCCTTTATTGTGACCTTATACCATTCGTTTCAATCGGAAGACTACCTCTATCTCTGCATGGAATACTGCAGTGGAGGAGAGTTCTTCCGTGCTCTGCAGACCAGACCTGGAAAATGCATACCGGAGGACGATGCTCGCTTCTATGCGGCGGAGGTTACTGCTGCTTTGGAGTATCTGCATTTGATGGGTTTTATTTACCGCGACTTGAAACCAGAAAGTTGGTGTCCATTTCATAGTGTTCGTCCAGACGCCTTCGCTTACACGAGACTACAGATATTCTTTTGCATCAGTCAGGACACATCATGCTTTCAGACTTCGATCTGTCCAAGCAGTCCGATCCCGGCGGCAAGCCGACCATGATTATTGGGAAGAACGGGGCGAGCACCTCATCATTACCGACGATAGACACGAAATCTTGCATCGCCAACTTCCGCACCAACTCATTTGTAGGAACCGAAGAATATATCGCACCAGAGGTTATCAAGGGCAGCGGCCACACTAGTGCGGTTGATTGGTGGACGCTTGGTATTTTGATCTATGAAATGCTTTACGGCACAACGCCCTTCAAGGGCAAGAACCGGAATGCGACGTTCGCCAACATCCTGCGGGAAGACATACCCTTCCCCGACCACGCTGGCGCACCTCAGATATCCAAGTGAGTGATGAGACTTCTTCTCGCATGGACATGCCACTGATTCTTTCTAGTCTCTGCAAATCCCTTATCCGAAAACTTCTGATCAAGGACGAGAACCGTAGATTAGGAGCGAGGGCAGGCGCTTCAGATATCAAGGCGCATCCGTTCTTCAGAACCACGCAGTGGGCGCTGATCAGGCACATGAAGCCGCCCATTGTTCCCCACCAAGGAAGGGGCATTGACACTGTCAATTTCCGCAACGTGAAGGAGAGCGAGAGCGTGGACCTCAGTGGATCGAAACCTATGCAGTTGAAGGGCGTCCCCCTTGACAGCGGGCTGGCTACCCCTGGAGGGGATGTGACGATCGATCCGTTCGAGGAGTTCAACAGCGTCACGCTACACCACGAGGGAGATGACCACAGCGATGGTCCTAACGGCTACGACTCATCGCCCTAAAAAGAGAGGAAGAGATTAGGCGAACCAGGCTGAGAGCGAGATGCCTGTTTTGCGAGGGCCTAGGAAGCTACGGGACGATCTCTCCTTATGTCGTCTCGGAGACACCCCCGGGTCGCCTTGTCACACTACCTGTCCGGCTCACCAAGCGGATCCCGATTGTACGAGGCTTGCATTTGTTGTATTCATTTTTCCTGCGCGCTTCACTTACGCTCATTTAGCATGATATGTGACGAGAGGTTTTCCAGAAAGATCAAAGGGAATGGTTGGCCTGGTGGATTCGGCATTCATATATCTCATCGTCGCGTGTTTTCTCCTTCTTTCATGGCGTTTTCCAAGGGGAACCCCAGCGGCGTTTACGGATCGGCAAGACAGGGAAAATAAGAAAGCAATATTGATCTTCTGCTGCCCATTTGCACGCCTTTTTACTTGAATATCGTGATTGAGGACATGTTATGATCGCTTCTTCAGCCTTACAGACTAGCCTGAGTTGCGAGGGCTGTGCTGGCGGTAAGCTTTTTGAGCTGCAAGAAATCCAGGCCATTGGCAATGCCGCCTCTAGATGTAACTGCTGCATTAACTGGTCCGGATGGTGTGGTTCTGCTACTATTCCGATATGGTTAAAAGGATCGATGGAATACTGGACACAAGAGCTTTTGTTTCATTGGCCACGTTTCTGACCTGCAGGCGTGCAGCAATCAGCTGAGCAGCAAATATTAATCTGAATGACCCTAGCTCAAGCTGCACGACCATGCGTGCATTTGGAAGACGTCAAGTGCTGATCTCTTCCTATGTTCATAATGATTACGGTATATGTCTGATTTCTTTCCCTTTTCTAGTCTTCTGATCCATTGTTGCATCTTCTTTTCTCTGTATATCTCATATCTCATATCTCATATCACATATCTGTCCTCACCACGCCCAGTCTGACGACTGGCTCTTCAACAAGCGAAACAAATGGCCGTAAGTGCAGCCATCGCTAGACCTCACCATGGCCAGTGAGCTCCAGCCTCCCCGTGCGCCACTGCAGTCCGCGGCGATAGCGGCGGTGCAGCACTACCACGTGCGGTCGGGCTCGAGCGGCGGCATCTCGCAGCAGGTCGAGACGGCGCCGGCGTACGTGGTGGACTGGGACTCGGAGACGTGCGAGCGCCGGTTCCTGGGCACGGCGGACGAGCTGCGCGCCGAGATCGACGCGGG